CTTGAAACCATTGCTGCGAGTCCTGTCTTGGCTGGAAATTTTCAGCACGCTATTTACATCCCCTTTATTTATTCCTGTTTTCCATTTATACACCTCGATCATATCTCCCCTAATTCTACGCCTTTCGAGAGAGTGCAGATTCAGGGCCTCAGTCTATCCTCAAAGGGAAGATTTCTGATACTTAGGATCATCTTTGTTATCCTCCTTTGTACTTTTTCTAGAGCATTTATATCCATTCTGTAATACGGTGACCAGAACTAAGCAGCATAGTCTAAATGAGACCTAACCAAGGATATATAGAGTTGAAAAACAACCTGAGGACTTCTATTATTTATACTTCTAGATATGAAGCCAAGAATTCTGTTAGCTTTATTCCGAACACTAATGCACTGTTGTCTTGGTTTTAAATTACTGCTAACCAGAACTCCTAAATCCTCTTCGCAATCAGTAGGATTATGATCTACATTATTTAGTTTATATGTGGCATGGTTATTTAACTGTCCAACATTTAGAACTTTGCATTTGTCAATATTAAACTGCAACTGCTACTTCTCCGACCATTGCATTAGTCTTTTCAAATCATCCAGGAGTGCTCTAGTGTCCTCATTAGAATGAATTGGACGGCCTATTTTAGTGTCATCAACAAATTTGCTTAAGTCGCTATTTATTCCCTCATCTATGTTGTTTATGTAAATTGTGAACAACAACGGGACCAACACTGACCCCTGAGGAACACAGCTTGTGACGTGCCCCCATTCTGATTTCTCCCCATTTATGCAAACTCTCTGCTGCCTATTTGTCAGCCATGCCTCAACCCAAGAAAAAGTTTCTCCTCCTATTCCGTGTGCCTAAAGTTTCCTCAATAGCCTCTGGTGTTGAACTCATCGAAAGCCTTACTGAAGTCCATATACATAATATCATATTCATTACCATGATCTACCTCCTCAAGCACCTTAGTGAAAAAAGTTAGTAAATTCGTAAGACAGGAACGCCCCTTTGTAAAACCATGTTGAGATTCATTAATCAATCTATGCCTATCAAGATGGCTACGAATTACTTCGGCAATTATTGATTCCATAAATTTTCCAACTATGAAGGTAAGGCTTATTGGTCTATAATTGAAAGCCAAGGACCTGTCACCTGCCTTACGTTTGCCATTTTCCACTTATCAGGCACTATGCCAGTTTGTAGTGATATGTTAAAAAGATTAGCCAAAGGTATGCAAAGTTCCTCTTTACATTCCTTTAACACCCTTGCAAACAGTTCATCAGGTCCAGGGGATTTGTTAGGTTTTAGCTTCTCTATTAGTCTGAGGACCATGTCACTAGTTACTGCAATCGTGCATAATTTATTATCATCCTGTTCTACATAATTTATTGTTTCAGGAATATCGCTAGTATTTTCCTGGGTGAAAAATGAGAGGAAGTAGGTATTGAGAATTTCGCAAATATCCTTATCACTGTCAGTGATCTGACCAGAGTTACTCTTAAGTGGGCCTGTCTTGTCCCTAATCTTACTTCTGTATACCTGAAAAAAACCCTTTTGGGTTAGGCTTTGAATCCCTTGCAATCTTAGCCTCATAATCCCTTTGTGCTTTTCTTGTTCCTTTTTTATTTCTCTCTTTAATTGAATACATTGATTTCTTAATTGCCCATCCCCTCTTTTAATACGCCTATATATGCCTCTCTTTTGAGCAATGAGGTGTTTAAATCTATTGATCATCCATTTGGGATCATTTTTGTTAGATTTAATTTCCTTACTCGGAACAAAAGTTGTTTGGGCAGCTAGAATTATGCTCTGATAAACGTCATATTGGCAACCAAAGTCACCTACCTGACCCATAGTCAGGACATCCCAATTTAGCCCACCCAGGTAATTTTTCAATCCCATGAAGTCGGCCAAGCAAAAATCTGGGACAGAGATTTGATTGCAGTTATCTGGGTAATTCCATGATAGTATATTGAAACTAAGTGATTTGTGATCACTTTCCCCAAGCTGATCATTAACCTCAAGATTATTAATTAGTGAATCTTTGTTGGCAAGAACCAAGTCAAGCAGATTGTTTCCTCTAGTTGGTTCTGTCACAACTTGTTCTAAAAAGCAATCCTGAACCGTATCAAGAAAGTCACTAGACTCAAGATTTCCTGTCATATTGTTCCAATCAATTTGTCTAAAGTTAAAATCTCCCATTATCACAACATTTTCATATCTAGATGCCTTATGAATTTCGTCCCATAACAGCTTACTGCACTCCCTATCAAGGTTTGGGGGCCTATAAATCACACCCAAAATTAATTTGACATGTCCGTCGAGAAACTGTAGCCAAACAGATTCTGTGTTCGATGTTTCTAATCTTATGCCATATCCAAGACAACAATTTAATTTTTCTCTGACAAACATCGCCACCCCACCATTCCTGTTGACCCTCTCAGTGTGGAATAGTTTATAACCCTGTATGTTGCATTCAGAAGGCATTTCTCTATCTTTCAGGTTGAACCAGGTCTCTGTTATACCAATAATATCTATATTACCTACACTTACAAGTAATCTTAGCTCATCTATCTTATTTCTTAGACTCCTACTATATGTATAGTAAACCTTAAGGGAGCTAGTCACTCGTTGCCCTCTATTATCTCTCTTTGCTTGTTGATCAATTGATTTGCCATTACTATCAACTTTATTTTGAATATTGTCTTTTAAACATATCCCTGAGGTATCCCTCTAATAACTGCTGTTTTTAACCCTAATGCTGCGGCCTGATTGTTTCCCACAAACACCCATGCCTCTATAATCTATCAGTTTAAATTCCTAGACAAGTCATCAATTACCCTCTCAATCGAATTGGCTAATGCAACCACTCCATCCCTAGAGAGATGAACCCGATCCCTTGCATACATATCACGTTTGCCAAAGAATAGGTCCCAGTTATCAATGAATGGGATTGCAAGTTCCTTGCGGTAACTGTCTAGCCAGCAATTTATACCAATTGCCCTTGACATCCATTCATTGTCCACTCCCTTCTATGGCTGACCTGTACTTATCCAGCAGCTCCTCTCTCCTGCCCTTCCCAATGTCATTACCCCCAGCACTAAGACAGATAATGGGCTTGTTCCCATTACCTGCCCTAATATTATCCAACCTGCTGACTATGTCACCAACACCAGCTGCAGGAAGACACACTCTCTGTCTGGCCTTTCTGTCTCTGTTACAATAAGCACAGTCCATATATCTTACCTGAAAATCGCCTACTATTAAAATATTCTTACCTTGATTAGCAGGGGAATCAGTGGTACCTTCAACCTCACTAACCACTGAAGTACACTCGTCCTGGAGAACAGAGAATCGATTTCCTACCTTCACATCTTCTCTATGAACTCTCCTCATCTTCCTTCTTCCTAAACTGTGAACCACTTGCCACTTACATCGGCTGCCACTATCACTGCTGGTGACCATTTCCTCATTACCAGCTAAATCCTTCTCACACTCACTCCCAACTCATCTATGCGAAGCTTCAGCTTCCTATTTTCCTCCTGAAGAAGTAGAATCTCCTTCTTCAACACTTGAACCTGAGATTCTAAAAAACTACAACAAGCCATGATGCTTGGTAACAGCCCACGCTAACTCCCAAGAACTTAAGCAGAGAGCTTAACGAATAAATTCATAGAAATTCTACTTGAAAATAAACATAAAATATGTACAGTAGATAAATTTCTTTGTCTACCACTTTAGGGAGTCTGGGAATGGTATACAATAGACATCAACAACACAAGAGAGATAATTGCATTATTTTTACTGTCCCTTTTTTACATATTCTCGTGCAGCATTTTGTCCTGGTATTTATAAATGTCGTTTCAATTACATTCAAATTCATCTTCCAAAGAAATAATATTTAGAAAGAAGGTAGATCTATTAATGAAATATGTCTTCTTCTTCTTCCTCTTGATTTGCTGGTACTCTCCTGCTCTGGGTCTTTCCCAGATGGTAACCCGGCCTTGGTTCTCTGTCTTGGGAGTATCTGGGACCTATGTCACCCATGCGAGGAGGTACAAGTACCTCCTCATCTTCTGGGACCAACTGTCCCCAGGCCTAGCCCCACTCCCCGCCCTCACGGGGCTCATAGGGAGAAGCTAGGCCTCTGGTCTGCCATCTTCCGCTCCCCAGGGGGGCTGGTGGGAATGGCAGTCTTGTGAGCTGCAGGTGGCAGCAAGCTCTAGCTCTGGCACCTTCCCCGCCCCAGGAGGGCTGGTGGGAATGATGTTTTCCATGGAATATGAACTGAATGAGATATTAAAACGAATTCCTATGACTGATTTGTGTCAAGTTTAAAAACATGGTGAAAAAGACATGCATATACCCGTCATGCACCAGTGACCATATGTCTAAAAAATGCAAATAATATAATGCTAGGAAGAAACATACAAAAAATGTTATTGTAAACCCAGAAAATAAATATTTTGAAAAAAAATTGTGATTTGCAATTTGGAAATCAAATAAGATAATTTTTAATGAAACGCCATTGTTAGTTTCCAGCTGACGGGTCGTGAGCAGTCAGAAGAAATATTTATTTTAAAAACTGCATTTCATTAACGGCCACGGGGGCGTTGACCCCCGGAAATCTCTCCAGGTGAACTCCAGGTAATTGCTCGAAAAAATGTGAATAGGCCATATATGCCAGGAAAACATCCATCAACAATTTATGCATTTTTCCACATTTCCATGAACGAAGTACTAAATGAAAATACTGCTGGCACCACGTAAACCAACGTACGATCCACAGCCTGGCTGATCAGGTATTGAAGTTACGTGCTTGTCCAGTGCATTCTTGAAGACAGCCAGGAGTCTATTGGCAATCCCCCTTATGTATGCTGGGAGGCAGTCGAACAGTCTTGTTGATCGAAATATCAAAATAAATACAGCCACCAAGTATAGTTGTAACACATAATTAAAATGCATTTATTGTTTACATTCTCTAACTTCTACAAAAACCTTTTTTCTGGCAGGCAACATGTGGGAAGTAACTACAACCAACCTGGAGAAAAACCTGGACGGCCTGCCACCAGCCACGAACATCAGTATACATGTTAAAGCCTTCAATGAGATCGGTTATAGTTCCTCCAGTCACCCCATTTTTTGTGTGACAGAAGACGATGGTAAACACTTTTGTTTTTGCTAAAGCCTTTAGGTAATTTAATTTATATGACTATTTATGTGTCTATCTGACTCTCTCTCTCTCTCTCTCTCTCTCTCTCTTATACACACACACCCACACACACACACACACACACACACACACACACACACACACACACACACACACACACACAGGGTGATGGTGGACACACTGGCTGAGGTGGCAAGAAGAGCTCACTCGAGCAGAGCAAAGTTACTGGTAATGGGCGATTTCAACCACAGGGAGATCGACTGGGAAAACCTGGAGCCACATGGGGGTCCCGAAACATGGAGAGCCAAGATGTTGGATGTGGTACTTGAAAACTCATGCATCAACATGTCAGGGACACAACCAGAGGAGAGGGGAGGATGAGCCAGCAAGACTGGATCTTGTGTTCACCTGAGCAGTTCAGACATCGAGGACATCACTTACGAGAGGCCCTTGGAGCTAGCGATCATGTGGTTCTGAGTTTTGACTATATAGTAGAGTTAACAAGTGGAGAAGGTAACAGGAACTAAAGGGGGGACAGGCCAAACTATAAAAGGGGGGACTACACAGGTATGAGAAACTTCCTGCAGGAGGTTCAGGACAAAAAATGGTAGGAAATCAGTAACGAGATGATGGAATATGTGGCAACAAAGTGCAAGGAGGCAGGGGGAAAGTTTTTTTCCCCAAAGGGGAAAACAGAAATAATAGGAAGCCCAAAACGAGTCCTTGGTTTACCCGAAGGTGTAGGGAGGCAAAAAAATAAGTGCAACAGAGAATGGAAAAGGTACAGGAGGCATTGGACCAGGAAAACAAGGAGATTAGTAGAAAGAGCCAGAAAACGAGTATGCGCAGATAAGGAGGGAGGCCAGCGACAGTATGAAAAAGACATAGCATCGAAAGTCAAATCTGACCCGAAACTGCTGTATAGCCACATTAGGAGGAAGACAACAGTCAAGGACCAGGTGATAAGGCTGAGGAAAAGAAGGTGGAGAACTCACCCAAAAACGTTTAAGAGGTATGTGAGGAGCTCAACACGGATTTAAGGAAGTATTTACAGTAGAGACAGGAAGGACTCTGGGGGAAAAGACCAGATGGGGACACCAACAAGGAATACACCAACAAGTGTTGGACGACATAATTTCAGATGAGGAGGAGGTGAAGAAACTGCTAAGGGACATCGATACCTCAAGGCAATGGGACCGGACAACATCTCTCCATGGGTCCTTAGAGAGGGAGCAGATATGTTGTGCGTACCACTTACCACAATCTTCAACACATCCCTGGAAACGGGCAACTACCTGAGGTATGGAAGACGGCAAATGTAGTTCCCATTTTCAAAAAAGGAGACAGAAAAGAGGCCATAAACTATAGACCTGTGTCATTGACGTGTATAGTATGCAAAATTTGGAGAAGATTATCAGGAGGAGAGTGGTGGAGCACCTGGAACGGAAAAAGGGTATAAATGCCAACCCGCACGGATTACGGAAGGCAAATCCTGTGTCACAAACCTTCTGGAGTTTTATGATAAAAAAAACAGAAGTAAGGACAAAAGAGAGAGGGTGGGTTGATTGCATCTTTTGGACTGCAAGAAGGCTTTTGACACGTTCCCCACAAGGATTAGTGCAGAAGCTAGAGCATCAGGCGCATAAACAGGAAAAGGGACTGAAAAAGGTCAGGAATACCTGACGGGGGGCAACAAAGAGTCTTGGTAC